AGCAAGAGTAGTCATGGGTGGTTTTTTTCTATTGTGGTTGATGACTGTGATTACTGGTCAAAGGTAATGGGCCCAAGGCTGGTTATTGCTTTTACGGAGCATATGTTTTAAAGTTCTGAGCTTATCAGACATTTACTATTAATGCAGATTAGACTGGCTCAGTTTTTAAACCTTTTTTTTCCATTGGTCAGTATTTATATTGGTTGGTCTTTAATGACAGGTTTCAGTGATCCTAAGTATGGCAGAATATAGAATGAAATTGGCTCTTTAAATTCCGGAGTTGGAGAAATAGTGTGCGACACACAGCAGGGGAAGTACAACCAACCTGCATAGAGATTTGAAGTTTCTGCAGTCTGAAATTGGAGAGTTCATAGCTGAAATGTGCAGGAGAAACTTGCTGGATATCAGTGTGATATGTCTTTTGCTCCTGTGTGCAAGTGGCCTTTTGTATTTCTGTGCTTATAGATACATTTGCTCACATAAATGAGTTGTGCACAATGTCCCTAGCTCTAGTTTTCCAAACACAATTTATAACTCGTATAGTAGCTTTCTGGTTCCCTGAATCATGACTAATACTCCCCCATGACTTGTTACTTGGCATGGAAACTATTAAAAACAGCTAGTTAAATGGCTGCCTCCTGAGGCCAGCCAGCAGAGCCCCTCAAATGTCTGGACATCCTTTGGCTACCAGTAGATACTTCTGGTTGCCTCACACTCTACCTTTTCTAGCTGTTCTTCGTCTTGTCCCTTTGGCCTCAGTTACAGAAACCTGCAGTACTGCCTTTGTCAGCAAGTATTTCTGTGCTGTTTCGACTACCAGAACTGAGTGTGCTGGAATTGCCAAAATAGTTGCCTTAAGCAAGTAAGCCTCTTACTTGGTACTTAGTCAGTGCTCAGCTGTCCCAAAACATTGCTTGTCCTGTCCAAACCCGTAGCTAAAATTCTCAGTCCAGGTGCTCTGAATTCCTGGCATCAGTTACAGAAGCAGCCTCACTTGTGGCTTTGATAAATGCCTTGCATGGCTGTCGCAAACACCTGTTTTGCCCCATTGCCTTAGTTGCATTACTCCTTTCCAGCCCACTGCTAGCTCTAGGTCCTTGGCTAGCCTGTGCTACCACACTGTCAAAACCCTGTGGATGTGCCACTGCCCTAGCTCTGATCTTTTGGAAGTGCAGTGAGGTTGACTCCTATTTCTTGAACCAGAGACTGTGGTTTCTTTCTCTTAATTTTGTGGCAGCCCTTAAAACTTTATCCAGGACTGCCACATGCTTGGCAGGGTTTCCCTGGAAAGGCAAAATTGTTCTACATGCTTCTTTAAAACATCTCTCTGCTATGATGCTTGCAAGAAATCCCAACCAATACTGCTGCTTACTATGCCATCTTGTTTCTGGGAACAGCCTGATCTGTCCAGTTCTCTGCCTCGGCGTCACGGCATCCCCAGCAAGCCTATACACTGTGTTTTTGTTCTGATGTATGTCATCCAGGATGCTGGTATCTCGCTGAAAACAGTCTCCCATGTGTACAGTAATACAACTAGCAGGATGAGAAGGCACTGGTGCTCCTACAGCTTCTGCAGGAGTTCTCAGTGCTGCTCTTCATTTGACTAAGCTTTTTTCCTCTTGCACCTCCTATCTTTTATTTTATAGATCCCTTCCAGAACAGTCTCTTCTCTCTTCAAGCTGTGAACCTTATGTGTGCTGCTGCTTCTCTTCCTCATGCCTTGCATTTCCTTTCTTCCTGACTCTGACCTTCTCCATACTGATCAGGCAGTTGGTGAAGGCTGTGTTCTGCCAACTGGCTGGCTGGCCTGGAGGCATTTGTAGAGACATACCTGAACCTACATTAAACATGTTCCTGCTTTTCCTTTTGGTTTTATGCTGTCTTTTTTTCCAGTTTTTCTTAAAATCATAATGAGTCTAGATCCTGCTGCCCAAACTGTTCTCAGTTCCAAGCATTTTTTTTTTTAGTTGCTTAGAAAGCACTACATTAGGTTTCAGACCTAGAAATGCAGCAAGTCCACCTCATAAGCTCAGCTAATAAATGAAAGAAAATGTCTCCTCCTAATTAATTAGCTTATTAACCATGATTAAACAGCCATATGGTTCATCTCACTTAGATTCATTTGCTTTCCTCTCTTCTGTCTTTTGGATCAGGAGTTCCTCTCCCATAAGAATCCCTATTCCTTTTGTGTTCCTTCCTTCTGTGTTTTCCTGCCCATATGACGCTTGTTTATATTGACAGCATCAGAGAGGACACGTACAGAGCTTTTTACTTTTAGAAAGCAGTATGACAACAGTTACTAATTCTTATGTATGATAAAGAAATGTGTGTATCTGTATATTGTTTAACTGGTAGCAAAAGAGATGAAGCTTGGTAGTGGTAGAGGAATAAAGGTCAAGAGCTGTTGGACTTCAGATATATGTTTAATTATGTTAAACAATACTTAGGATTTGAAAGGTTTGAAATTAGATGAAGATTCCTGAATCATTGCTAGATGTTGATATTCATATTGTTGCTGCAGTGGAGGCAGAATGTAACAGTGATTGAGGAGGAGGAAGGGCTCACTAAGTGCTGAGTGACACTGCTTAAGGGAAGAAAAGGGGAAGCTTTTTGGGTTTGTGTTTTTGAGGCAGGCAAATTTAGTAGTAGAGGCTGGGTAAGAAACCATGCCACCCTTCCTTTTAAGCCTTTAAAAGGTTTCTATCTATGGCTACTGGGGAGGGACAGGACCAACAGTTTCACTTTTTGGTCTCTTTTAACAAATTCCTTGTACTATGCCATTGCCCTTGGCAACTGGTGAAGTAAGGGGAAGGGTCACATATTCCTGTGAGAGGGGAAAGCAAATTTCATGGCTAAAAGCCTGTTTTAAAAATATAATACTTGGGAGACTACCCTCGGATCCTAGAAACTGAGCCTTTGTGTTTGTCCATGAAATAACTATGCGGGGACAGAAGTGGTTTAAATGCCTTAATTCTGCTGCTCTGCTGCTGAACTTCTACCCTGACTGGGAGCAAATGGGATGACCTTCAAATTTAACTTACTACTGCTAAACTTTTTCACTTGAATTTTGGAGCAGGTTTTGTATTTCTGTTCTGGTAACATGAATAACTTATGGGCAGTGGCTTTCAACTTCTTTTGATTAGTAAACTCCAGCTGTTTTTTTTTTTGTGGGTTTCCAGACCCTGTCAGAAATCTCACAAATGCACATTGCTGTATAGCATGCTTTAATTATTTTTTTCTGAGTTAATGGATGCCTTTAAACTGCTCTACGTTTCTTGGAGGAGGAGGAGAAGAAGGTGCAAACTGCAGTTTGAAAAGCTGTGTATTAGGAGGTTTCTTCTGGAAGTGACAGTTTATTTCCAAACAACCTCAAAAAAAGCATTGGGATTATTTTAATGTGGTGGGGTTTTGTTTGCTTGATTTTTTTTCTTTTATTTTTTAATGGTGAAACTAATCCTTTTCCCCATTCAAAGCCATGAGTTCTGCCCCCCCCCAACAGAGAACTCAACTTGAATTTATTTAAAGCTTTACATTCGTTTTGCTTATGAGGCCAAGTTTTAATATTTTTTTTCTTCCCTCTGCAATCACAAAGGCTGTAAAAATTATATAGTGGAGTCCTATAATGACTTGATTCCGAGAGCTAAAATTTCAGAATAACAATCACTAGAGCACTGCCAACACAGTTTTGAGCAGCCAGCGTTATGCTGGCTTGAATCAGATTTCAATCAATAAACCAGAGGTGAAAGGCGCTGCTGCTCATCCTGTTTGAGAACTCAGTTTTCTTTATTTACCATTCAATGCAGCAGCTAGGATTTCTTCAAAACACATGAAGGTAAAGTGTCAAAACAACAGGCAAGTCTATTCTGTGCCATATAGCTGAAGCTGTGGTTTTGTGAGCGAATTAAGTATGCGTTGCCATTGAAATAGCATTGATTTGGGTTTGGACTTGAATGGTCAGCAAAGGGCTTTTCAACCCTTTACTGCCCATGAGGAGCCTGGCAAACAAACCTGGCAAAGCTTAGCTAAACTCAGTTTTGACACAAGTGTTTTTCCTGTGGTCACTTAGTCATTTGCAGAACTTTCAATGATTAAGTGAGCCAGTAAAATCTCTGTTAGTATACTGGGATGTAGCTAATTATCAGTAGACACAAATGATTTTTTTAAAAATGTAATTATCTGTAGTTTAACCTGTCCTATCAGTTGTGATGGATCTGCCATTAATTTCTACCTTTTTCCCCCCTTTTTTGCCAACGTTAAGTGGCTAAAAGCCAAGGTAAGAAGTGTTATTTCTCCTTTGACCCACAGTGCCTCATGTGACTGATAGTAGAGGCTGCAGAGCCATTAAAACTGAAAACTAGCGCTCTCTTATGCTCTCCTCTGCTTTCCATAGGATACTTAGATCAAACATGCTATACTTGATTTTTTTATTTACAGCATTTAGCGTGTGTCAATATATCTGCGATACATTGACATCTGCATTTATACATAGATATATTAATTTCTCTAACACATGTAGTGCTTTGCTCTGAATTCAGTAGATGCCTTGATTCCTTTCACTTACATTTTTGCAGGAGACTTCCCAGACAACCTGAATGACCCTGCTAGTCAAATAGCAGGAGCAAACTGAGAAATTCTGGCCCCATGCTGACTCTATTGTACTGTCAGTGTTACCGTTTGATTTAAATTATTGACACTCAAATGGAGATGAGCACAAATGTGGCTTCCCTTTGAAGTAAAGAGGATATAAGAGATTTGTGCATGAAGCTGTCAATTACCTACCTTTCTGATGTCTGTTGTAAATTAATAGCACAAATAACATTAAGCTTGTATGTAGACTCTTTGTATTTACTGATGTCTGTCTTGCGTGTAGCTGAAAACTTGCTGTTTGACAGCTGTCTGGGAATTCTCACTTCATATTCTTACACTTTAAAAAAAAAGCAAGCTGTCAATAATAGAGCTGCTCTGTTGTAAAAATAAAATCATGTTTTCCCTTATTTCAGCATGGAAATAACCAGCCTGCAAGAGCTGGCACCTTGTCAAGAACAAATCCGCCTACACAAAAACCACCAAGTCCTCCCATGTCAGGCCGGGGAACTCTGGGGTAAGAATGAAGACTGCTTGGTCCCTTCTGTGTAATAGAAAGTTTTAATTGTGCTGGTGTTGGTGTTTCTTAAATACATGGATAGATGGCAATTCTGATTGCCTTTAGCAAAAAACAGAATTCCTTTTCTGTATAAACCTTTTCAGCTATATTGACTGTTATTTTCATGGTTACCTTTTGAAAGAATGGGGGAAGGATTTATTATAGATATGGGTAAATGAGGAGGCTATCGTTATTCCTGATTTTTGGGGAGAAATCCTTAGCAACACAAATGAATATCAACAGTTTTAACTTCAGTGGGGGGAAAGACTTCATTGTTAAAGTTTTTGTCTACTCTCAATATTGTAAGACACATGAAGTGACTGTTGGTGCCGTATTTGTTGCATTATCTAAGCAAAATTCATGACATTGTGAACACATTGGCAACATTGATTTTCGCAGGCTTGTGCATTTTTATTTTTATGCTTGAATGAGGAAGGATTTTGCTATTTCCGAGTCCCACAGTGACCAGAGTTCCCTGCTGTAGCATCTGTTTTGCTGCTGTGGACCTGTGGGGAGTGAAATCTGCTTATCTTGGCTTGCCAGCAAGTAGTTGTTTCTAGAGACCGAAACATTAATACTGGAGAAGCACAGAGCACGTGCCATATGGTTTTGTCTGTCCAACTGTGCAGCATCTTCCAAAAGGCATCCTAAACAAGACCTTCTACCTATTTGTCACTCTCAGTCTTTCCTTTATGCTGGAGGGACTGAGGCAGTGTAAAGCTGACTGGCATGGTTGTGTTGGCATCAGGTATGTTGTCTGGGAAAGGTGGGGAGCTGGAAAAACGAGGAGTAATGAAACGGAACATGATGGGGATCAGGAGCAGTGGTCAAGGAAAATAAGCAACAACTCCTTTTGTCGAAGACTTAGTGGTTTTTAATCCTGATTCGATGCTTTGCTGCTTCACGATGGCCGTGTTTATTCTGCAGAGAAATTACCCTAGAGATTTCCTCAGCATGTTTTGTGAAAATTCCCATTGCTTAAGGGCATGCAATCAGTATTGCAATTCTCTCTTATCCCAGCTGAGGAGGAGTTGTTTATCAGCCCTGGGAAGCTGGGTAGTGCTTTCATGTCCTCTTGGTTTGCTAGTGAAACAGCAGTGTTGATATACTGGTGAGTTGCCTCTCTCTAATGCTCCCCCCTGAACAAGCCAGAGCTGTTTGGTTGCCTTAGCTGATTCCTGATAAGGATTAATCGGCTGAATGTCATTTCCAGATGAGCTTGACAAGAGGCAGCAGTTGGCTGAGGGGGAGGAATAATGTGGGTTTGTAACAGAGATTTCTATCTGCCCTTCTTGTTCAGGAAGTACAGCTCTTGTCTTGAGCAGCCGTGTTCTGCCAAAGCATGAAATATCATAGGCATGACTGTTTCCCTAATATATGCAGAAAAAATTGCTAGAAACCGCAAGGATACTAACTGCTCTTCTCCCTTTGATCCAGAAGACAGAGATAAATCTGTAAAATCAGAATGAGCTTGGTATGTAACATGGGTCTTTACGTGCTGCTTATTGTGCAGCTCATCCCTCCAAGGCAGGACAATCTAAAGGAATATGATGGGGAGGGAGTCCTGCTCAGAAATTGTGTGGGCTGAAAAGAGAAGGGGACTGCAGGAAGCAGGGGTCTCTTCACCAGACCAGGGAGAGACTATGGGAAACCTTGGATGCTCAGGTTGGAAGTACCACAGGAGGAGTGCATTGCTGGAGCTGGATGGAGGGAGTAGTTGCAGTCATGTCTTGAGGGTCCTGGGGCAGAGCAAGGCCTTGGAGTCCCTGTAGCTCTCACTGATGGCCACGGGCATCGGCACCACACTGAAGCACTGGGGGACAGTGAGGTGGGGAGCGCTAGGCAGTGTCAGGAAAGAGTGTTTTACTCCTCTGCGTAAGGCTGGCAGAAAAGCAAAGGGAAGGATTTGACTTAGTGATGGAAAGAAGTTGGTTTGACTTCTGTTGCTTAGAAGTTCTTCAGTGAAGCTTCAGTGATGGCTGAACCTGAAGATGTGGTGGGGGATTGCTTTTGACGATGTTTTTAAATTGTACAGGCAAGACAAATAGTACTACAGAGATGAGTAGCAGTTCTATTGCCAGTGCATTCCAAGGTAGAATACTTCAAAACATTCGTTTTCAAGATTATGTCTGTTGGAAGCACATTTAAAATCTTCCCTGCTTATCATTTCCTTTGGCAGTATTTAAAGCCCTGTCTCTCACAACTGGAATACAAACTTTCTTTATTTTTCCCACGACTGATCTCTTTTGGCACATCTATAGGTGGTGGCAGTCTGCATATTAAAATCATCTGGAGTTCTTTATATAGACAAACTCATTTACAAACACCACAGTGCATGCAAACAATTATGGTATTTCCACTTTTCTCTTTGAGAGGTTTTAATAATAAAATGTTATAGTTGTGTTCCATATTGTAAAAAGGAAGTCAATAAGTTTCTTAAAATACCAGGAAGCTGCACTTCTTAACCAACTCAGTTATAAACAGTAATTGAACAAATTATTAAATGCCAGTAGTTTAGTATTTTTGTTTTTTGCTTAGCTGGTGCATTGCCAAATTCCATGTCTTGCAAGGGGTCTCTTAGTTACCGGTGAGAACTGAAGAGCTCTGCAATTCCGTACAATAAATGCACTGTTCTGAAGGCAGTAATGGGTCTGGTAAATAGATCTCAAAAGATCTATGTTATATTTCTGACTTGATGCAGTCTGCTAGGTGACCTTGGAAGTCTCTGGGCTTCACTTTCCTGGCCTGCAGTAGAGACAATGAAGCTCATCTATGAGGCACTTTAAGATCTGCTTAAGTGATGTGAGATTGCTTGATTACTGTGTGAAACAATGCTACTACGAAGAGTGCTGGTGATTGCAAATTTAACTTGTGTGTCAATCTTTCAGACTTACTGCTGTCTTAATGAGTTGAATACCTTTAGCCAAGAATACTTTTGGAAAGTGTTTGGAGGGGAGGGGAAGGGTGGAAAAAGGAAATTGTTACAGTGGAAGAGTTTGTCCCGTGCAGTATACTGAAAGGTAACCCCAGTATAATATGTGGATATAACTGTTGTATGTTACGTAGTTCAAAGAATACATTTTGGGTGGTAAATTTAGTTTAGGCTTTTTTTAACCAGTTTGTATGCTGTAGGCCAACTTGAATGGATCTGTCTACATAAGAGCACTTAAAGTTGAATGACCTGCATACTCTGCCCAATGGAATTTGTTTAATATACGGTAACGTTGGTCACTGCGGGGATCTCTCAAGAAAACATAAGAAAACAAATGGCTTTGCTATTTCCTTCATTTGTCCTTTTGATCTTCTGATCCTTCACCTTTCTGACTTCAAATCTTTTTTTTTCCTTGACCAGACGAAATACTCCTTACAAAACCCTGGAGCCAGTCAAACCGCCCACAGTCCCCAATGATTACATGACCAGTCCTGCGAGGCTGGGCAGTCAGCACAGTCCGGGAAGGACAGCTTCCTTGAACCAGAGACCAAGAACACACAGGTAGAGCCCTTTCTTGCTGTAACTCTTTCCTGCCTGGCATGCTAATGCTTACTAGAGTCACAAAAAAGCTTTGAAGCTTTTTTCATGTTAGCTTTTTGTGGGAAGGCAAAAGGTGAGTTATTCTCTACCACTCTGAATTAACAGAACTTCACTGTGGTTATGACTTCTTTAACATGTAGAAGTGTCTTCATACTCTATAGAAGCCTCATTTATCTAGCAGCTTACTTCCATAACCATAGGCCTCGTTTAATGTAGTCAGCTTATTTTGTTCTATGTTACTTGTTTCCCAAGAATAAGCAAAACTTATGCAGTTGCAAGGTAGGATAGTGATGGGCCCTAATGGGTTTAAAGTTGCATTATTAACCTTAGCCTAAAATACACTTAGGCTTTTTTTGTTGTTTTCAAAACCACTAATTGCAAAGGGAAATTTCTGTTGATTAGAAACAGTGTGATGAAGGTAGTCTGAAAAAGCTGATTGCTTTCTTTTGGCTAAAATTTAATGCTCATAGTCGGTGTTAGATGATGCAAGTAGAAAATAAAACCTGTTCACAGAGCGTGTATTGGCATCAGCCAGTTGTTGCCACGTGTTTAAGGGCTTTGAAAGAGCAGTGTGTGTTTTGGGTGAGAAGGTTGTTCTGAGTATACCTTGTTCGTTTTTTGGGGTTTTTTTAATTTATTTTTTTCTCTAATTGCAAGGCTAGATCTTTCTCTGAGCCTCTTGAGTAAGTTCAGTGTTTTCAGTTTGGTTTTTATCATAGTCTTCAAACTGCAGGGGGAAAAAAACCCCACAAAATAATTCAATGTAGTTAGAAGTAAGAGGTTAGCTTATTTTTAGAGAGCTTCTAATTATTTTTTTTTAAACACGGTGGGTCAATAATGGGGGTTGAGAAAGTGTTTTGGACACAGTTGATCATGAAGTACTGTCAGAATGAAACAACTTCTAAATCTGGCTGCAACAAGATCTTGTTAATCTCTTTAGCTGACTACTGTGACTGCTTCCTACTTTTGTCTCACAAGATCTTATGTAGACTGCAGTTAGAAATTCAGGCACAACCATGGTGACAAGATCAAGGTCTTCAGCAGACAGAACACTAATTTTGAAGGAATTATCTTGGCTTCCATTTCAGATCACTGTTTTTCTTTTTTGTAACAGTGTTATTTTCTTAAGGTATATTTGAATGATTTGCACTTGACTCTTGACAGCACTGATCTGTAGCTACCCAGGAAAGGTAAATAAACTATAATGTCACTGGGTACTCTTTAATTAGCATGGACGAGTTAAAGTGGTGTTCTGGCTTCAAAACATCTTGACTACTCAGTTCCCTTTATATTATCCATTTAATCCATGTAAATTCAAGCCTTGGCCTAAGGAGTGCTCTTGGATAAGGACAGATTCTGCCTGAATCTTGATTATTTTTCAGCTCCTCCAATGAAAAGAAGTGTTATGGCCTCCAAAGGCACGTGTAGAAATATTATCCAATAGTTCACTAGAAGTATGTTCTCTAAAAATCTGGCTGTATTGTATGGTTTGTGTATCATATAACAGTACTTGGGCAAATTGTTACCTGTCTGTGCTGTTACCTTTCAGACTTAGAAACAAACTTCTCATATACCACAAGTGCGTGCATGGTCAGGGGAGTGTTAGATATAAAGAAAATTATCCACACCACACCCCGCCCCAACTGGTTTATCATGGCTGTTCTCAGTTAAAAAGTTCTCAGTCTAAACTTCAGTTCTGAGTAGAGGAAATGTTCCTTCAGCTGACAACATAAATAATCTTAAATAATTATTTATAGTTTAGGCATGAACGCTTCTAGCCCCAGCGTATTACCTTCAGTTATTACAAGGCTCTTGAACTGTTCCTGCAGTTGTTACTCCATTGCCTAGAACTGGTGTGGTTGCTTACCTTTTGTTTTTTAAAGCATTTAATTAGACATTTTATGCATAGTGATGTTTATGCGCTTAGCTAATTCCATTTATTAGGAGTGTAATGCATCCAGACTTGATTAGCTGTGTGCAATTGTAGGTAGATACAGAGGCATTTTATAGGGGATTTTTCAACACTCCAAAATTGAGTTAGGCTAGTAGAGCTCACACAAGAAGTGTGACTGTTGATAGGCCTTTGTAGGAAATGCTGTGCTAATACTTGTGTTTTTCTTTTATAGCGGTAGTAGTGGAGGAAGTGGCAGTCGAGAGAATAGTGGAAGCAGCAGTATTGGCATTCCCATTGCCGTGCCTACACCTTCACCGCCAACCATTGGACCAGGTATGTGGGACTCTTCCCATGGTAACTTAAGGCTGTAATACCAGTCGTTTGTGTTTGCAGAGGGATTTTGACTGAATATGATGGGGTAGAAACTGTCCTGAAGCACAGTTTTAGTCAGGAAATCTCTAATAAGTGCTGAGGGACAGCTAAAGTTTTAATTCTTTACCAAAAACACTTGCAGAACAATAACCTGTAGAATAATGGATGGTTAAAACACCTTTGTCAGTCCACGTTTTTACAAGATAATCAAGGGGGGAGGGGATAGAAGGAGAGAGATGTATCCTGTTGAAGCTTAAGTATGTTTTTAAATGCATATCTACAATTTGGCATTTCTGGATACCCTGAGAAGCAGCAGCAACTATGTATATGTTTGATGGGAAATGTTGCCTTCTGAAATAGCATGCTAACTTTACCATCTGCCAATGATGGTATGTACATGTTCTGGTTTTAATTAAATAAAAGTCTTTACTTCAAATACAAGATGACCTACAAAAACGCTGCTAGTAGTAGAATGCAGGCTTGTCCACCAGTGTTGTTTATGCTACGATTGCAGTCTGAAGTTGCTAAGCTAGATGGAGACCACTGAGAGAGGCAGGAGAACTAGTGTGTATAAGATAGCACAGTGATAAGAGAACCATACGGGATCTCTCGGCATCAAAAGGATACTCCCTTTAAGAATGGTGAATGGTGAGGTAGGATCCTTTTCTGTTGTAAGCTGGCAGGATTATTGTCTTGGTAATAAACCAACTCAGTCACTTGTTTACTATCTGTATATTTTGTAAGCACATAAAGCTAATTTGCACAAGAAAATGGAGTTTTGGTGTAATATAATTTTGCTATTGCACCTCTTAAATCTGTTCTGTAGATAACATGTCTTCACTTTCTTATGGACATGTAGGCTTTCCTTCTCCAGGTGTTTCTGATCCTGCAGTGGTACAAATAGGTGTGAATTCTTACTATTGTCTGGCATCCCACAAGAGTCAATGGGAATAGAGATCTGCAGGTACAGAACCCTGTGAAGGATCAGGGCCTGAGTTTGTATCAGTTACCTGAAGCTGAATTTTTGTGTTTATTTGGGAAGCCTATCAAGTGCCCGTGCTTTCTTACTTGTGTTTTTATTATTTTTTTTTCAAATTAATGGCCTAATTGGGAATATAAACTATTTTATTAGCACACATTTCTGTTCCTCCTCCTGGAGCCCCGCCAGCACCACCACTGCCACCACCCCTCCCGATGGGCAGTCTGATAGGTGAGATGTGTGTCAATGCTGAAGTGATCGCAGTCACGCTGCATAATCAATAATCATCTCTTCCTAATGGACTTAGCGAGGGTGTTTTTTCTTCTGTAGTGGGGTTTACATGATTTTAGTATAAAAATCAGTTCTGGGATTTTTTGTTTGTTTTTAAACAAATCTAATCTGCACTAATTTCCTGTGGTTAAAGCCTCTGAAGGTAAATGCACAAGGTACAGGTAAAAGGCTGCCAGTTGCTTGAAATATCTGTTCCCAATAAAGCTAAGATGCAATTAGTCTGATCTATAAGAACTCAAAATCAGCTTGAATATTGGTATTCTGCTGTATTACTCCTGCAGCTGAAACTAAGCCACAACAGTTGCACTCAGCTTATAAATGGTAGCTGATGCGTAGGGTGATGTATGTATTTTGTCCTGTGGGAGTAAGGTGACTGGAAAGCAGAAGAGTCTGTCACAGTGGCCTGGGTTTGATTCTGTAACGCTGCAGGCGGGTGGCAAACTGGAAGACTTGAGGATACGAACTAACAGTTCTTGAAAAATTGCTTCAGGCGTTACGTATAGCTGTTAGGAGGGGATCTAAAAGTAGTTCTTCTCAGAGCAGGCAGGATATAATACCCCACCCTTTCCTATTGCAGGCTGATGACAAAATTTATTGATTTGAGTTATGAAACTAGCTTTGGAGGCTTTGACCCACATAACCCTTTGCACTTTCCCTTACTGAAGTTTTAAGCGAAAGTGACTTCAGATAACATTACAGGACTGCAAACTTCTGATTGCACACTGTTCGTGTATGTACGTGTGTCTGCATTTTTGTATATATTTATATATATTTATATAAGATATATACATAGGTATGTAAAAGCACAAAACATGTTATTGCAAAACAATTTTTACATTTAAAAATTGCATTGATCCATGTGACCTCAAAGTGTGAGATTCATTACTTTGCAAGGTGTGATCCTTTTCTCTACCTGCCAGAGGTTAATCCAAAAGAGAACTTCAGTTGTTTTATTAACCTTGAAGTTTGTGCAGCATGTGGAAGGTAGAAAGGGATGTTCATCCTGAAAAGTGAGTGATATGTCTTTCTCTCAGCTGGCATTGGTGATTCTGATTTGTTGGTGCAAATTCCAGCAATATAAAAGCACAAGAAGCAAATATGATTGATTAAATGTGCCAAGGGTCTGAAGCTTATGACATTTGTTTTACTGTTTTGTTAGTGTCTTTTTATACTGGATTGGAGACAAGCTCTGGTTCACAATGGAAAACACTTGCCTTGAGCAGAACGTGGAATTTTTTTTCTGTGTGCTTTTTAATAAAGGGTAATGCATGTAGAATAATTGAGATATGCTTAGGAGTTGGAAGCTGATTCAGTTTTCCAGTCCAATCCAGTCTCTCAAAGTAGTTCACAGCATGTCTCAAATGCCCTTTATGTGAGTGTTGGTTTATGTCCTGTGTGTTTTTTCTTGTTATTGATTATAACAGGGATGTTTGTTTTCTGTTAATCTCCAGTTACTGGCCTTAAATTATTGGAGACCTGTAATCAAGTATTTCCCATGTTCTGGGCTTTTTTCTATTTTCTGCCTTCTATCCCAAGTAGTACTCTGCTTAAGTCTTTTCTTTGGTTCCTCTGGCTAATGCTTTTCAGCTGCTCCGGGTTCAGCTCCTGGGTCCCAGTATGGCACAATGACCAGGCAAATCTCACGACACAACTCTACCACTTCTTCAGCATCTTCTGGTGGATACAGACGGAATCCTTCTGTGACTGCCCCATTTTCTGCTCAACCTCATGTTAATGGCGGGCCTCTTTATTCTCAAAATTCAAGTAAGCTTCTGAGCTCTGAAATCACAAACTGTTTTGAGCAAAATTATTGTAAAAGCGTGCATGGCATTTTAATTCATTTTTGAAGAGCATCAATCAGATTACTGCTTTCTTTCCTAAAATAGAAGGAAAAACAAACAAGAAAAACTATATTGAAGTTGTACAGTGATTGCACTATATGCAATTATACTGTTTTCCCCTCTGACTTGTTTGCTGTTACTCATGACAAGAAATTATTATGATTGCCTGTCTAATTATAGGCACATTATACTTAGCATTTCAGGTGTGCTTGGAGAACGTAAACTAAAACCAGATTTTTTTTGCAGGAGACTTAACATGGTTATAGTACAGTCCCTCCACTTCTCGGCTAGTGGCAAGAGAGTATGTCAGAGCACACTGCTTATGTAACAAATTTTTCCCATTGCACAGTTTCTTGCTGTCTCTTCCCTAAATCCTTTCCTGACTCCAAGTTTCTCCTTTGTTCTTAGTTTTAAGATTGACTGTTAAAGAAGAGCTCAGCCTCTCTCTTTTTAGCAGACTCCTCCTCTGTGCTTCCACACTAATACTAGTGTAGATGGAGAAGAATGAGGGAAGGGATGGATGCCATGGGCAAGTGAGCAGATTTTAGTCAGCAGCATCCTGCCTACCTACCCAACAGGGCAAACGAGATTCACTGCAGAAAGATCTGCAAAATAAGGATCTACTTGAGTGTTGGTAGAAAGGCTGTTCCTGTCAAGAAACTTCTTTCTTGCTGTTTCCATAAATTTTGACCAGATACACATAGAGGAGTGATAGTCTTCTAACTGTTTCTGGTGGTGTTCTTCAGTGTGCCAACTCTTTAAACTTCAGTGTGATACTTCTTTTAAAAAGAAATGTTGATGTTTGGGCCGAAGATCACTTTAGACCAGCATTTGCTGTTGTGTACTTACTCTTAGGGAAGGAATACATGAAGTGTTTGAGACGCTGAGGTGAAGAATTTTCTCAGTGGTTTAGAAGTATTATCAGAAGGCATTTTTATATGCAGGCACAGTACCTGTCTTTTTTTTCGACTCCTGATTTTTCCTCCCACTCTCTCTCACCCATACTGGCCCTTCATTTTCCTCCATACTCTTATTCCCCCAAATTAATTCACTATAACAACAGAAACTCCCTGTTTGAACAATTGTGTTATGTTGAATAAACAGGGCTTTACTTCTGGAAGTAGTTCAGTTGTCTTAAATGCTGTGCACACCACTGTTTCTGAACATTTACATTTGTCCAAAGCAATTTTTTGCTCAAATGCAGGTGCTGTTCCTTGATCTAGCCTCTGGTGTTTTCAAAATACTGATTGTCAAGGCTTTTTAAACAGTATTTTGATGGGTGTGTTTTTCTACTTTAAACTGTTTTCCTCTGTTTCTGTAACTGGTGATTTTTTAATTTTTTTAATGCTACTGTCTTGACATTAAATCCAGGTCCCATGTTTTCTTAAGGTTTTACTTTTCATGCTAACAAATACTCTGTTTTTTCTTAGATGTTTACTTCAATTTTGTGAGAAACCTGTTTGTTTGTCCCTGTTTTATTGATCATTTCTCCCATACAGTTTATTTGGTTATTGGTTTTGTAATGAACTAAATGCTCCATTTTTGTTCATCAAACATTAATCTTAGTTATGGCTTTATTTAAAACTGTTGCTTACTTAGAAGTACAGAACCTCTTTCAAATTTGGTTCCAACTGGATTACCCTGCTGAATTCCCACCTTCACAGGAATTTCTCTGCTCCAGTGCAAGAGAAATTCCACCGAGAAGGGGCATAGTAAAAATAAATGAGTTGATGTTTCGCTGGGTTTTTCTTTCTTTTATTTTGTGCCAGAGCTGTTACTCTGAATGGCACGCCCGGCTGCTACCATGCTTCTTTCCTACCTGCAGAAGGAAGGGTTGAACATCTCTGCTGTCAGCCCAGCATCTCTGAGCACTGGGTGCTGTGTGTCTTCTATCTCATTGCTCACCAAATAGGTACATACTTCAGAGAAGGCGAGCTTGCAAGTGCGTCTGGGGGGGCTCTGTGTGCTAGTGTAGCCAGCTGTAGCTGTTGAAGCCTTTGCCAGCCTCTTGGGTTGCTGAGTGTCTTCTAACCACAGAAAACTTAATAATTTAAAATAAAGCTCCATTCTGCTCTAAACCCATCTGGTTTCCTACCAACAAGCAACAAGGTCCCTTTTTCTATGCAAGGCAAAAGCACAGTATGCCAACCTACTACCCTCCCACACCAGCAAAACAAAATTATGGGAGGTGCTCTCTGTAGGGATATTAAGTATTGATTTTGCAATGCTGTTTCCTGTGTGTAGTAGTTGTCTTTGCTCTGTGTCAGTGCGGCTTTGCTGCACTTGATGTAGCACTCTGCTTTTATTTCAGAGTCATTGTCCAGAATCCTGGCGAAACATCACCTCCGCTCCTAGTTGCGTTACTCTTGAAATACAGCTGCCAAATTTGAGTAAACGTTACTTGGCAGCAAGACGAAAAGCTGAGTGTTGTGTGCTCCCCAAGTGAAGCGGAGCAAGCCCCTTCACGCGCGCGCCCTGTGAGCTTCCAGGGCACAGCCAGCGCTCAGCTTTTTATTCACCTAAACACAGGGGCATGCTTTGCTTTTTGCTCCTTGATTGGCCAACCATGAATTCAGCCCTGTTGGAAACACAGGCTTGAAGGAGGTTCTTCCGTGTGTGTGTTCTTGTTGTTCTTTACATACTTTGTTTTGTGGTCCTTGTTACTGACGGCTGCTTTTGTTTGTTTCCTTTTTTTTTTCCTTTGTCTGTTTGACTTTCCCCAATATGGTGTATGTGTGTTGCTACCAGTTTCTATTGCTCCACCCCCTCCCCCTATGCCTCAGTTGACTCCACAGATACCTCTCACAGGCTTCGTGGCCAGGGTGCAGGAAAACAGTAAGTTTGGACAAGCTGAGTGTTAAAGGGTAGAGCCTACTTTCTTCTAGCATGCATGGCTGGCAAGTCAGACTATTTTGTTTCCTTTTCCAGAAGCTAATACCATCTTGCATTCTAGTGTCAATACGCTATTGGAGCTGAAGGGCACACTCTTCAATATTTTATAACATGTGCATGATTCTTACTGACCCATTTAAGTTCTGAACTGCAAAGTTATTATAGAAATACAGTATGAAATATGTGGCATATGCTTGGTGTGAATATAGAAATGTATCTTAATTAAAAATATTAATTTCATGTTGAATCATCCTGCCTGAGGCGCTTTCACTAGGAATAATTGATTAGCTTTTATTAGAAAGGCTTTTGTAGACTGTCAAAATACGTACTGTGTAACCATTGAATCTAACGCTGTCATAGTTTTCAGGAAGCTGTACAGTGAATTGAAAATGTGCACTCCTATGATCTAATGCTGTTACAAAGGAGCTTGTAAGGTATTTCTCCTCTCGGCAGCCTTTCAGTCTCTGTTTCTTTGTGTTCTCTAGCCAGATTTCCCTACTGAGCTTCTTGCAGCATAGCTCTGCTTGTTAGGTTTGTGAGACACGCTCCCTGGCTATGACCTGTGCTGCAAGGTGTTTATACTGGTAACTCTGCTTTTATCATTACTGCTTGATTCATTTCAGGTGAGTGTTACTGTGCCAAATGCTAGTGCAGGGGTAAAGTTGTGTTCCTGATCTGGGGACATCTTTGCTATAGGAGTGCATTGTGGTTCTGTAAACCACAGAATGAATGCAATGCAGGTAGGGCTTGAAGTAAGTATACAATGTTCTTAAAGTGTTCAGGAGCTGTAGGGAAGTTTACTGGGATCTCAGGGGCTACTGCTACATATGTAGCTTCAGCATACATTTATAGGCCTCCAGATCTGACTAGTGCTGCTGTTCAGCTTCTGCCTAGAGCTTTTAAGGGGTCATGTTCTGAGCCTTCCCCTAGAGACAGGAGCCATCTCTTTCTCATCTGAAAATAAGGTATCTTGGTGTTGTGCTAGGTAAATAGTAAGAATCACGTTGATGTAGAATAGCCTGCCACAAAATTGTGTTGACGAAGCTTTCCAAAATTCAAAGTGTAGAGGTAAACCTACTGAAGATGAAGGTTACAGAATGTCTTCACTTGCAGATAAACTTGAGAAAATTGGCACCTGCTTCTGAATTGTTCCAAGTATTGTCCTCCTGGAGATAACACAGCCCTTGGGAGAGCGGAGGTGAAAGGGACAGACTTATTCATGTGTGCAACAACAAAATGCAAGCTGACTTGTGAATGAGATTGCAGCAAAAATAGCTGAAGCTTGAAATCTCGTCTTAGGAATTGTTCTTTTCATTTCTTTCTTTTAACAGTCCATGGGTTTGAAAGTTATATAACGAGTATGGCTTTGAGCTGCTGCTGCCTCATTTTGGAGGCAGAGGGGTGCGTGTGGCAGCCTGCGCATACGCTCAGCAAAACTGGCTGTAGAGGCTGTTGAGTTTTGGCATTGTGTGCTAGACTTTCATCTGCCTCATTTTCTGCAAGAAGTCTACGGGGGAGTGGAGTTAGGGAGACATGTGGGTAGGCTTGTCTTATCATAGAGATCTGTGGGTTTGGAAAGCAACATCCTCTGCTCTGTGGACTTCTTTCAGAGGACAAGGACAGAGGGCTTAAGAAACTATGCAACACCTATTCTTTTTTCCTGCGCCCTGTGCCCAAACTGTGGATATCTCCTTCAGAGAGGTTTTCCAGTATGTCCAGTGTCCAGGGGCAACTGATTGGATGTAAATTGCTGTACTATTACAGCCAGTCCTTTCAAAAGGAGTCTGCTGGTCCCTACTTAAAGAACAGGGATGTGAATACATACAAGAGAAGATGTCTGAGTTTGGAGCTGTATAAATACTGGTCTTTTTACCCTTTCTCATTTAGTGTGGTTTTCTGTATGCATTTTTTTTCCCCTCCCCTAGGAAAAGTAATGCAGTTGTAGAGTCTGCTTGTTTTAAATGCCAAACCAGGCAAAGTCTAGGTTAAAATCCAAGAGGTGGGGGGATAATTCCATGGGGCAGCACTTGTCTAATTTTCTGTTCCATTCTCTCCCCTTGTTTAAATGTGAAGTTGAATTGTTTTAAATGTTTCCCATAAAGCACGCAGTTTCTGCACTGCATCTCAGTTAAGGGTATGTGTTGGCACTTTCACACTTGCATTTCCTGCCCTCTTTTCTTCTTTTCAAATAAGCAACTTCATTGTTGAGTAAATACAACTTTGTACATTTCTTAAGGTAAGGATTTCTCAAGATCTCAAAGTATTGCTGTTTCAATACTGTTGCGTTTTTTTCCTGGCTGCAGACAGAAGTTTAAGGGGAGAAATACATTTTGTGAAAGATGCCAAAACTACTGCACAAAACCAATCCATTCATAACCAGTGTTGTCATGTGTCTGTGGTGGATTAATGAAGCCTGCTTGTGAGTGCTATTCAGTAACATGGGCAAGACGTAGCGTTCACTCGGCCAAAGACTTTGTTAGTCTGTCTCTAAGTGACATAAATGGGCTTCTGTTTGGGGGAGGAATCACTAACACAGTGACAGCCAGTCCTAGTGATGGAGAGCACTGTGGGTGTACAGCTCAGCTGGTCAAGCTGAAGAGGAGCTGGGCTTGCAAGGTGAAGAGCCACATCAGCTCTTCAGGGGGTGGAGAGCGGGCTGGGTGCCAGGGCTGAGGCAGCCTCTGCCCCTGCAGTTCCTGCTGGCTTCTGCCCCCTCACAGCAGCAGATTTGCCTTCCCCTATACCAGCGCAGCCGGGCTGACCCAGCTAGTGCATGGTTGCTGTGCTCAAGCCCCTTCTCAGGAGCATGTGGCTGAAGAGCAAAGGATAGTCACCACTGGAGTAGTGGCCAGGCAAAAGTAAAGAGCATTAAAGCAAACAGAAACCTCATTTCTCGCCTCCAGTGCCATTGTAACTAGCAGTAGCTAAAGCTTCACTCAGTGTTGTTCTTTCCTCACCCTGCAGCTTGGCTTTCTTGTCAAAATTAGCATAGGGGGCTGTAGCTACACATTCTGGAGCACATGCCCAGCCTGATGGCTCCTTCCAGTCAAACCCTTTCTAGAGCACTGGTTTTCAGCCTGCGTTTTCGATGTGCAGACTCTGTATTTAATTCTGTATCGCTATATAACCAAGCTGAGTTTAGCGACAGTAGCTTCCTTTCAGTTACTTCTGGCTTCATAGTGCTTACACCTAGGTCTGTGTGTAGTGGCCCACAGTTCCCAAGAAATAGGTGAAGTGACTTGATGGCTTGTGAGCATGCTTGCTCTCTCCTTTGCTGCCAGCTGCTGCGAACATTACTGAAAACTAATTTGATGAACTGATTTTAAGAGTGATTTGTACCGTAATGCCTTTCTCTCTTTTTTTTTTCCTCCCCCCCTTTCCCAAAGCAACTTGTAATTGTGCTGATTGGAGAATCTCAGGGCAGGGATTTGACATTTTGGATTATACACTTAATTCCTGGAGCACTTTTTCCCCAAGAGCAGCAGCTGCCTGTTGTAGTTTTCTGTTTATTAATTGAATCCTGGATGTGTGTGCACACATGAGCTAGTCTGCAAGATAAGGATCTGTACAAAGCTTTTCTTCTGCAGAAGGATTGCCTGGCTTTCTCTTACCTGGTTAAACCTTAAACACCAGTCTTTTCCCTTTTTAATGATCCACACCAGATCTTTTTGTCCCTTTAATGCTAGCTCTGAGAGAAGGAATCCAAGGAAGCAGTGTTCAGAAATAAATTAAACTGATTGCTAGAGACAAAGGATTTGTTAAAAAATAATCAAGCTGCTGGTCCAGTCCAGAGGCCTGTTGCTGCCTGGCTCAGAGGGTGCCACTCGGAGTCCTCCCATAGCTAACCGCTGCAGCTAGCCCCTTGGCGCATGGACGTCGGAGCAGGAAGCTTTCCTCTCTGCTGGTGTTCAGCTTATGCCCTGCAGCATGTGCTTTGACTCTAGTAGCATTTATACATAGATTTGACCACTAATAACAAATGTAGTTGTGTGCTGTAGCTGTTAATACGAAGCCTCTGTTTCTAATCAGTGCATGGTATTATAGTGCATGCTGTGTGTGGTGTCCCCCCACCCCTTTTATTTACAGTGTACGGCCTCAGGTTTGTTTGCATCTCCACACTGTTTTGATTTAAGAAAAAAAAAAAATAATCTCCAAACGTTTCTAGTTGCGGATAGCCCGACTCCTCCCCCACCACCGCCTCCCGATGAGATGCCGATGTTTGATGACTCGCCTCCTCCTCCACCCCCACCCCCCGTGGATTATGAGGATGAGGAGGCTGCTGTTGTGCAGTACAGCGATCCCTATGCAGATGGAGATCCTGCTTGGGCACCTAAAAACTACATAGAGAAAGGTAAGAGAAGCGTTGCAACTCTTGTGTTACTGCAGTGTTAGAGGATTAATGGTATCTGAAGGGAATGAAGGGCTTGGCTGATGAAAACAATCATTGTCCCTGCTAAGTCAGAGCTCGAACCATTCTTTCCCCAGTTTGTGTGTGGCTACATGTAATGTGATAAAATATAATCCTTCTAAAGAAGGATTATAAAATACCTTCAAGCATTCTAGAACGGATAAAAAATCCTTCGTTATGAGAAGCAGATGTAAATCGGATGGCTTTCATCTTTGCTGAGCTGCTGGACTGTGTCTGTAGCTACCTCAGGACTGCTGGGCAATCATCTAGAAATAGTGTTGCAAACAGGCCTGAAAGTCTGAGCTCTATTTATCCCATCAAACTAGATAGCTAGAGTGGATCGTGAGACTTTCAGCTACAAAATGTAGTGAGGCTTCCTTGGAGACTTATCAGTGACTCTTGATCAGCAGACTATAAACTGTGCTTAGGTATGAGCTCACACAGTAAACGTCTCTTCCCATGAATAATTGAGATGCTGATTTCCTGCCTGTAGAGTTGTCTGTGTTCGCACAATGACCGTGTTGCCAACAGCAACGTTGCAAGTTCTCTCATGGCCTGGCTGGTGCTGTAGTGCCTGTGAAATGGGGCAGGGTACCCAGGTACCCTCTTGGCAGAACTGCCGTGGTCCAGCTTCGCTCCTGGCTGGGCTGGGTGCAGGATGTACCCATGGGATGAAAACAACTGATACGCTGCATCGCTATTTGCTAGGCATTGACGTGTCCGATTTCTGAGTATATGTAAAACAGTCGGCTTTTGGAATTCATAAAACCGATCAGTTGTGTAAATCCACATTAACTGTTTTGGAGGGTAAGGCTGTGATGTCCAAAGTTTGTGTATTCATAGTGGTAGGTTTTAATTCCAGTATTGCTGGTGGCAACATTTACTTTCCTTCGGGAGATCTCTGCTTTGTTAATTGCACACAGTGAGTAGGAGGTTGGCAAGAGTAACGTATTCACCAAGCAGGTACTGAAAACCAGCTGATTTTGCTGCAAATCAGCTTATGCTATTCCCTGCAGTAACTTTCATACTTGCACTCATGGCAGCTCCTTGAAAAGTGATGCCAAAATTTCTTGCCACATAGCTGCTCCGTAGCAAAGACCATCTAGTTCTGCACAGAGGCTTTGAGCAGCCATGTTTGCAAGATCACACACTGAAGCACACGCTGTGTAGCTGCAGGGGCCATAGTATAATTTTTTTTTTTCCTGTTGGTCCATTTCTACATATGATTTTTTTTGGTAAGACTTTCTCTCATCAAGAGATTCTTGTATGAGGATCCATGTGCTTCTGAGGTGATCTGACCAGAAATGACTGCCACCGCCGTGGAACCAGTTATTTCATAGTTCAGCTTCTAAGTGTCCATATGCTCCGTGTTACTGTGCTGCAGTCAGCTGTACCTCTGTGTCAGGAGTTTAACTGAGCGTTCAGTGTCATCACCACCCTCTCCTTACTGGTAGCTAATGTTGCAAGAGAAGTGGAATGTCCATTTCTGGACTTAATGTTCAACAGGGAAAGCATGTGAATTCATGACGGAAAATCCCAGGATAGCAAACCAGTCTTCCAAAATCTAGTTGTACGTCAAAAAATGTTAATACTGGTGCTATTAATAAAATGCTAAACGTGTCGCTGTTCAATCCACAGTTGTTGCTATATATGACTATACAAAGGACAAAGATGACGAGCTGTCGTTTATGGAGGGTGCAATCATTTATGTGATAAAGAAGAATGATGACGGCTGGTATGAAGGAGTTTGCAATCGAGTAACTGGCTTGTTTCCTGGGAATTATGTTGAATCAATCATGCACTATGCTGATTAAAATCCTTTGCTTTTCAAAGCTGGGTCTTGTATTCAGTCATACCATGGTTATTTACAGGGGGTAATTACAAGCTAACAGAATTGTCTTAATATACTTTCAAAAAAACCTGTGCCCATTTCTTCAGGCCATACTGTTCTAATGGTATGATTGAATGTCCACCTCTCCAAGTCCCTGGAGATGGTATGTCTTACCTGATGGCAATTTGTAAAACAAGCAACTGTCTATAACTGGTTATACTTATTTACTTATGCATTGTTAATTTTATGACCAGCCTAAATATTCTGGGGAAGTAGGGTATAATATTTAATGAATCATGATCAGATTGTGCCATTACATTTTTCAGTACAGCATGGTAACTAACACTACGTTAGACTAACATATTAAAATCTGGATGAGAAGTTTAATGTTAGTGCTGGTCATATTACTTTTTGTTTAGACTCTTTGCTCATTCTTGAACTATATTTGTTTAAAGCATGCATACAAACTTATGTATTGAAATATACTTTTTTAAAAATCCAAGATGCTTCCAATTGTTGTAATCTTTACCTGGAGTATTCTCACTAAAGTCTATTACAATGAGTTGTTTGGGTCTAAGGTGTCCATGTGAATCAAAAAATGGGTGGTCTTATGTATGTGTAATTTGTACCCAAGTTTTTTTAATGAGTAAATTTACATTATGACTTTTTCCATTCATAAATATATAAGTGAACCAAAGGTCTTGTCCATTACTTTGTTGGTTGGCTTGGCAAAGACACTTGGAATGCTAACGTAGCAAATCATGGCTGTGTTATCCCAGGCAATGTACTAAAAAAGCAAATGTTTGTAACGTGACTTTATCACTGACAGAGGGCAAATAAATTAGATATGAAACCTGAATTACACATTTATACATACTCTTAGAAGTTCTTTTCTTCCAAAAAGAAGTTTAGCAAGGATTCTTGATTGAATCTGGTTACCTAGATGCAGTGAGCTGGACACCATCTGTAACTGATTCTCAGTCGAAGCTGTATCTGGCTTTGGGCCGTGCCCAGCTGACCGGAGGGCAGGTTGGCCCCAGGACACGACAAAGGGGGAACAAACGTGAGGGGAACTTGGCCATTGTGTTAAGGGATCACACGCAGAGAGCGTTCCAGATGATGTACTTCCCTGCTGGACAAATCCTGTGGCTTAAATAACCTGAAAAGGAATGTGGTACTACAGGACGATTCCTGTAAGAGAAGCGTGTCTGGGACTTCAAAGCAGACCTTAGGAGGGTACGGGACATACTCGGTAAATGAGTGATGGAAGGCGATAGGGTGAAGCTTCAACTGGCTGTTGAATCATTCATTTTTAGTGTGAGTTAGAAATACCAAGCCTTTCCCTCTCTTCTCTGTAGCAATCTCATATTCTGCATCTTGTTGACTGCTAGCAAGTAGCAACCCATAGCATTCTTGTGTTTCATGAGTTGGAAAACTTCTCACAGATGTGTATAACCAACTCAAGTCTACATAAAGTCTTTTATAATGACCAAGTTCCATAAATACACTTCCAGGTACTCCTGTAGTTTAACAGCCAGGAAAGCATTCAAGCCATCTCTCCTCACAGGAGTTCACCAGATGGTAACATGTGTGCTCTGCTTATTAGTGTGAACAAGTGAAATCTGGAACAACTTCAGTCCTCATACACTGATTTATATTTATTCTCATTGCGGCCTTCGTGCATCAACATGTAAACATCTTCCCCACCCCACACAATGAATAGCCCCCACTAAAACAATTGTACAGCACAGTTTGATTTGCTCTGAATTGTATGGCTTCTCACAATAAAACACTTTAAACTTTTGTTTTTTAAAAAAAAGTAGAACTTCAAAAAAATTTTTTTAAAAAAATAATTTTTGGTAGCCTGTGTTGGAAGCAAATAACTTTTGAAGTAAATTTAGGCACAGTCTGGTAAGTAGCTGCCAGCACGAGTGGAAGGAGTTCTCTCACTTGTCTCGCATGAGAACCATTTCCGTCAGTTGAATGAGGGCTTCTCGTTCGGGGGATGGCCGTAGCTTACTGATCTCTCGTGTAGCTTCGTGGCAGTAGCGCTGGGCGAGGTAGGTTGTTTGCTGCACACCATCACTCTTGGGTGAGAAGACAGTAATGGATAACTGGTCAGCCTCCCTCCTGCCTTTGGCCTCTTGCAGTTACAGGGGCAAGCTTTAAGGTCAGTAAGTACCCTGAACACTTAATTATATTTTGAGGGGAAAGGAAGAGGATTCATTCTATATTCAGTGAATCCTACATCTTCTCCCCAAAGTGTCGAAATACTAAAACTGACCTGTGCTAAACTTAAGGATACTTACAAAACAACGCTGCTATTAATAACGTACATAGAAACTAATGGCTTAACCCCTCCTCTCCCACCTTAAGACATGTACAAAAAGCCCCGTGCTATCCTGAAAAAATAGGTATTAATTTTGCACAGACAGTTCTTCAGTCTTTTCAGACCAGAGTCAATTAAAACTGGAACAGGTTCCCTAATGAAATTGCTGATGCTCCATCCCTGGGAGCGTTCAAGGCCAGGTTCGATGGAGCCTTGAGCAACCTGGCCTAGTGGGAGGTGCCCCTGCCATGGCAGGGGGGTTGGAACTAGATGGGTCTTTGAGGTCCCTTCCACGCCAACCCATGATACGGAGTGTGCACTGCAGTTACAAGACTGGTAATTACATGCTGCTTACACCAGTTGTTGGATACAGGTACTCTTCAGCTGAAAGAATACAGTTCATGCATGAGCTTTTTACTGTTACTATGTGGATTTTATGCTATTGGAGGGAAAAAAAGAAAAAAGCTCTTCAGTACTGAGCATTTCTGCTAAACCATAGGGCCGGTAGGCCAGCTGAGAGTACTAACTTGGTATTGCACATTGCATGTGACTTAATGTGCATTTGAAAATGCAGCCCTGCTATTTTACTTGAGAAGCAATGAATTTCAGACTGACTTTAGTAGGGACAGCACTTCAGGAATGGAATATCTGGTATCAGTCCTACCTGCAACACGTACTTCCGAGCACGTTCAACGTCTCCGGGCTTACTGAATCGTCTCATTATCATAGCATTCATTTCTGGAAACTAAGCACAAAGGGAGAAGGTTTTGTACTGCTTTTGAGTTGTTTTCCATGTCACTGCCTGCAGCACTAAGGTCACAAAGAAGCCAAAGTACAGACCTCTTCCCCTGCCGCTGTTGTTACTACAGGTACAGCTATACCTTAGTGGCTGCCACCTGCGTGGGACTGTAGTATAGCACAGCCCAAGCATTCACAACTTTGCTGGCTGGCTCTGTTGGCTGCAGCCAGTTGGTAGAGAAACTTTACACTTGCCATTCCACCATGCTGAGGAGGTGATCCAGTGTGGTCAGTTCTGATGTGGCTACTTCCAGGTGCATCGCCTGGTGCAGGTATTCTTGTACCACAACTGATGGTTAGCGTTGGCACACCTTCAACTACCTCTTCTCCCACACATACAGCAAAGCACCCAGTAGGTTTGTTGTATCTGTATTGCACAGTTGAACCTGTAAAACCCTTCATGGTACCTTTGGCTGTTCTATCCAGTTATGCTTTCCACTGCTCTGGGCTCTGCCTGTGGAAAGCTCAGGACAGTTTTTTTGTAGGAGAAAAATGGCAATTATAATGTATTTTGCTTTCAATCATGTAGCACTTGTAGGCAGTACTGCACACTCCGTTCCCTACAAATCAGGTAGATAATGAAAGTCAGCTGTCTTGAGAAAGTAACTGCATCACTTAGCTAAACACACGGACACTTTCTTTGGACAGTCCAGAACTAGAAGAACCTGGTACTCAAGAAACAAAGGCCATAACTCAAGGCAGCTACTCTGCAGAGGAGTTGTTTTTAAAGGAAAGAAGTGTTTGTTCATCTTGTCTGAAAGGGTTGTAGTCAAACAGATTATTTTATTGCACTTGTAAACAATGATCTGCTTTCCTTGTACACCTTTGATCCTGAAACTGCAGATCTACAAACTTGTTAGGAAACAAACATGCAGCATCCCTCATTGTTGTGACACTTCCCCATTACTCACAGGTGGTCTTCTTGGAGGATACATGTAGAGGTTTAGGTGACTCATACTTGGCTTTCTTTAGATCCTAGCTTTCTTCCCGTGTAATGACAATTTAATTGCACTGTTCATATAATCCATTTTCGTATTATTCATATTTACAATGATATAGGATGCCTATGCTTTCACTTCTTAAATTTAAGCACTAAAGGATATAAAAATCCCATGACCTGTAATGCAAAGCTGTTATTAGCAGTTTTGCAGATTTAATGGGCAGTATAGCAGCATCTGACAGGAATGCTTGTAATAAAAAGAAACACTCGTTCTTCAGCTGTGCTAGTGTAAGAGTGGCTTTAGCCTTAGCGCATACTAGTGTATTTCCTTAAAAAAAAAAAACAAAACGTGGTGGTTTTTACTGAGTGAACTAACTTGTCTCACATCAAGCTGAACAATTTTCGTATAAAGGCCTCTCCTTAATACTGTAATGCACAAAGATGTATTTCAGAGGGAGGGGAGAGGACAAGAAGAAAAGGCTGTCATGGAAGGTCCAGAGCGCGTTAAGAATTAAAGTCAGTTTGTTAAGAAGACAACATGAGGATTACCAGATGTGTTAAAGGGTGTGCAGGGCAGCAGTAATACTGATTTCAACAGAAAAGACAGCCTATAACTAACAATTATTTTTTGGACTATCTTCAAGGCCTGACTCAGGGCTTTTATTCTCAGATACAAATAGACGAAACACCTTTTAGTAGCAGCACAGATATGTGGCTGTTGAAGCTCCAAACTTTTTTTAGCACTTACTTATACTTTGTTTATATATCACTTAAATCTGTAGTGCTGTTCTTCCAGTTTCTTGAAAACAGCAGGAAATTTTCAGCAAAGCAGCCTTCCGGTTAGTGCAGAAAACTCTGCAAGACGGTCAAGTTATCTTTCAATGCAAGACCCTGCGCTTCCCTCTATCACAGATATAAATGAGGAAAAGCGTTTAAAAGTGACCGACAAAGAACAAGTAAGACTTTAAAATGTAACCAACAGATTTTCTTCTCTTGTATTTCCACATGGTGAACTCATTTATCTTATAAAGCTAATTGAATGATAGATGAAGTTGAAAGTCAGAGACAGCCAATCCAAACAAATGAGTAAGTTTTAATTTAAGAAAACTGGAATATTCAACACCCACAAGACAATCGGTGTCATCCATTCTCTGCCAAAATCAAGAGTGTTTGCAACGTGTCCTCGTTCCTCTCTACAAGTAGCTATAACCCACAAACCAACCAACCGACTTGTCTCACAACTGCATCCTCTTCCTGTACCTGAGTCTCTCACTGTTCTTCAGGCAACTCCAGTTGCTGATGACTAACAAGATCCTGCTGTTTATCAACTAATTCTGAAATAATGATTCCAGAACAAGTTTGTGAATCCCCTAGACGAGTCTGTGGGGAGGAACCAAGAATGTGGAGGACGTTGTTCTCAGCCTGCATTCGTCTGCATTCTGAAGTGGCTGATAGATACTCTTTGCTTTTCTGGCTTTTCCAAGATACAAGTCCTTGTAAATGCCCACAGGATGAGGAAACACGCACAAACACGCGTGTGTGTTCTGCCTCCCCCCACTCCAGACTCTTTTTTAAGAAAGAGGGGGAAGTAAATGTTATAAAGTTGTATTTTTTTTTTTTTTTTACATTA